ATACATGAAAGAAATCAAAATGGCGGATTTTGTCATCATCATCATAATCATCAAGGCTTAGCTTAACCTAAACAATTTTGATCAGTGGCCATAGTTCTATAAGTGTACCACGAGTAGTCTGGGTCCCAGCCCAGGTCACCCTCACCAGGTCTTAGAAGTCAGAACTCACAAAATGAAATAAACTGTTTATGTAGCTAGTGGGAGGGAACAAGGGTGGGGTTTAAATTAAAAAAATACTGTTAAATAGATCTTACATGAATGAATGCTGTTATCTTTGTTGTTTACTTTATAGACCTAATCTTACTAGTCGAGACTTCTTTTGATTACTGTTTCATGGAAAGTGAGTTGCCTGTACTTGTCCATTACTCCAAAGACAATTTCATTTTAGAATCAAAATCATGCCAAACTTCTGAAGTTGGAGAATTTCGAGCAATCCTGGCATCACCACAAGAAAACAAGGACACAAAGAATAAACTAGATGAATCAAATGGAAGTCTTATGAAAGAAAATGAGGATAAAAATTTGGAACGTGAAAATGAACCAGTAAAAGATGCCAGTAGTATGAATACTAGCAGTATGAAGGTTCAGAGTGATGATGATACAAAGAGTAAAGAAACACCCACTGACCGAACCACTGACACTGTTTCACAAGGTGATACAAATGACAGCAAAAAAGAAAAAGTTGAAAAACCAGCAGGAACAAAAGAGAAGCTCAAAAAGACTGGGAAAGTGACGGCAGAGAAAAAGGGTCCTTCTGCAGCCAAGCCGGAAAAGTCTTTAGAAGAGTTTCCAAAAGATCTAACTGGATTTGGCTATAAATTTAATCAAGGTATAATATCACAATTGCTATTATGTGAAATCAATATGCATCACTGTGGCATAGATGGACATATGGTGTCTGTTGAGACAGGCGAGTCGTTTAAGTTTGAAGTACGTAAAGGTAACAAGAAATATAACCAGAAACACTACGAGGCATTAGGAGAAGTTAGCCTATAGTGTATTAATGTACATGTATTATTAATGTGTTAATTTATTGTATAGGTAATTACACCAATGGTTTATGATTTACTGATTGAAAAAGCACAACTAGTGAAGCATTTCATACCAGTAAGAAAACTATTATTAATAGATTTACTGTGTATGTATTGAGAGTTTGAGACCATCATACACACTGACTATAGTCATAGCACAATCAAAGTGTGATGGTAATGTACCTTATAGCTACAAGTTTTTGTCAGTCAAAAATTTTGTCAAAATCTTAATTTCTTCTTAAAAATTTTTTTGTCAATTAAATTTCCGTCATTTTTGTTATTAATCCGCATACTACTCATGTGGAACAAAAATTTCGTTGGTTAAAAATTTTGTCAAGCAAAAATAACTGATGAATTTGACGAAAATTTTGACCAACAAGAATTTGGTGCTATACGGTACTTGTATAAAGATAGAAACGGGCATAGTGCACAGTCTCACGTGCAAGATTTATCAGTGGATTTGAAAATTGCTTTTTTTTAAAATTAGATAAAATGCCACATAATACACAGGATATTTTTTCTAGGATTGCAATTAAAGAATTTTTATTTTTATAATTTTTAATGCATATACGTGTGCCTTGTTGTATATGAAGTTTAAACCAAAATTAGATTTTTTACAAATTCTTAAATTATTCAAAAATTGGGCCAAATTCCCTGTACTATGTACAGGGTCTATGGCCAAAAATGAGTAGGAAAGAATTTTTAATTTTTATAATTTTTTCTGATACATATACATGTTTTACTTTGTGTAGCAAGTTTGAGCTGATTCCACTAAAAATTGGATTTTTTACAAATTTTTAAAGTTACTCAAAAATTAGACTAAAGTCCCTGTGTACAGTGTTTCTGGCCGAATTTTAACAAAAAAGTCTAAGTAAAAATTCTCCATTTTTATAATTTTTTCTGATACATATACATGTTCTGATGTTGTGTAGCAAGTTTAAGCTGATTCCAATCAAAATTGGATTTTTTACAAATTTTTAAAGTTGTTCCAAAAGCCCATAATGTACTGTACAGCTGTATATACATTAAAAAGGACACTGCCCACCTACTTTGTATGTTTCTGTACTTTTTGTGAGTTTAATTTTCATTTTTGGAGCTTGGGAAAAGAACTAAATTAAGCATAATGTGTATGTGTACAATGTACGTTTATACACGCTACCACTAAAGTTTAATTTACAATGTAGGACAATTTAACATTCAAAATTTATTGTAAAAGTGTGGTTGAGTTGACCATTTGATGCATCTATGACAATACAGTAAATTCAGGCATAGCATCATAATAGACACATTTTCATAATAATTGTTATGACTATAACATTCCCTTTCCATTTAAATTTACAGTTTTATTTGATAGGTCGACAGGGAACCAGAAGAGCCATTTTCATTCATCTTTGCATCAGATGATGCATTCACCAATGAAGAGAAACTGATGGTAATAATACATGGAAGTGGAGTAGTGAGAGCTGGTCAATGGTCTCGAAGGTATGATATTACTCTTGGCTCCTGCTATTAGGCAGTTGTATTATGAGTATGGTTGGGCCAAATGTGCTTCTTTCTTACTTTGATGTGCTGATTTGTAAAATTTGTCACAACTTCTTTAATGTAATAAGCCCAACCATACTCATAATACAACTGCCTAATATAATTTTTAACCATTTTAAAACATTAAAAACTAATTAATATCAACCAAATAAAAACAGCACAAGTTAACTGTAATAAAAGTTGATTGTCCTTTCATTATACAAGCCCTTGTTTGCATCACAGGAGCTTTACTAAAACTTGTGTAATTTCATATCTTTCATTCCCTTATAGTCTAATTATCAATGACTGCTTGAACAGTGGTACACAACTACCTTTTATCAAAAGAGCAGCTGATGTGAGTTTACCTACCTCTCAACTTACCTTGAATGAATTAACATGCTCTCACTCCCTTTCTCTCTCTCACTTAGGAAGGGTATGGCATTATTGTGTTCAATGGAAACAGAAACCACGAAGATGACGATGAAAAGAAACGTGAAATTAGGGTAAGGCAAAAAAAGCTTTTTTTTTTCTTACATTTTCATGACATTTTAAAATTTCATTTTACACGAAACAAAAAAATTCAGGCTATGTTATCATTACACGAAACATGAAACAAATGAAGCTTAGGTACGTATGTATAAGAAAAGAAGCCTTAAACGAAACAATTATTATTAGAATGAAATGTTGAATGTGAGTCCAGCAACATTAGTTGAAAGCTTAAGAGAGAGTTTAGAGAAAAAAAACCTTTAATTAATACAATATTGAAGAAAAAGCCTGATTAATGGTAGTAGCTATCGAATAGCCTGCGTCTATCATACTCATCATCTCTTGGTCTATCATAATGCGACATTAAGGACTGTTCATATTCAGGGTAATACCCAGCATTAGTTCCTCTTGCTTGCTCTCTATAATCCCCTCCTGTCCTATAAGCTCCTTCTTGTCTATAATACTCTGAAGGAGGAGGGGGAGGGTATCTACCAGAAGGTGGAGGGTATCTTTCATAATAGCGATCGGCTTCAGAGGCACGATATCTTTCAGCGAGTCTTTCCTCCATGTATCTTATCTCTAAATATCGTTCGT